TTTTAAGCATTCCATTTAAAGTTTAATTTTACATTGTTGTATATTTATTTTAACTAGAATAATCACCTAAACACAATCGGTGACAGTTTTAAGGAAACTTTTGCATGGGATTGTGTATCTAGTTCTTTTTTGATCGATGATTTGAATTTAGTATCAAAGTCATTCAGAATTATAAAAAAATCTTTGTCATTATTTAGTTCTGGTATTTTAAGTCGAGGTTCTGACCCCAAAAAAGCGTTAATAGTACAAATATGAGATAATTTCTATACAGTGCAATTATTCGTAGAAGTGTTGTAGTATTTTATCCTGGGAAAACTCTTTTTCTAGAAGTAAGAGGGATCTGTACTGAATGTTATCAAATCAACTCCAACATTTGACTGGATTCTTTAAAACTAAGTGCACTATAAATGAATATAAGAAATATTTCTTAAAAATTCAATTTTAATATTGACAATTCAATAGCTCTACATAAGAGCCTCATACCAACTCTTAGCCACAATAGGTTAGTACATTTTATTAATAAATAATAAAAAAATGGCGGTAATCCAAAAAAAAATTACTACAAAAGTATAAAATCAGTCAAAAAAATATATTTTAATAGGACTTTGATATATCGGAGGACTGTCGGAAGTATGATTCTGGTAGAATATTTGACAACACTCAATGAACCAATTTCAATTTTTATATGAAAAAGTTCTCAGTGCAAAAGTGGCCTAACTCTAAAGAGCACTTTTTAAAAAATGGAAGAACATTACGAGTACTTACATTGCTGTAATTATGAAAGTTTTTTGGAAGAAATTTATCGCCTATTGTATCTACGAGTTATTAATACATACGAGCGGACCGACAAGTAAAAATAATTATTTACTAAATGCTTTTCAAAACAACTTAAAATTAATAAAAAAAATAAATTCAAAAAGCATTATGAAAACTGAAGTGAACCTGCACTTTTTGCAACTCCTGGTTGGTGCCTCCCTTAGTAGTGTAACTGACAAAAATATTTATTTTTTTATAAAATATAGTGCTGCTTTAAAACCAACAATGTTGGTACTACCTATCAAAAGTTAGAAAGAAAATTAAATTAAAAAAAAAACGTATGTGTGTATTTATGTACGCAAGTAAGAAGTTATACTTGTTTGGCGTAACAGAACAAAAATAGCTAAAGATTTCCTCCCGTATGTCACAACTCTCTGTTTGTAAAAGGAATGCAGCTAACTTCATCATGTCGCTTTCAGCTAACTTCATCATGTTGCTTTTTGGCCGTCGGTGTGCGCGCGCATCGTAAAATATTTACTCTCATAATTTTTCCAAATGTGCCAAAAAAAGAATAACTTCAAAAACCTTTATTATTTTATTAATTTTAAAAAGAGTGAGTTGTGTCACTCTTGCACTGAAATTTGGAAAATATTTCTGAAGCTTGTTTTTTGATTATTATGTCATTGACATTAGTTTTGATGCTATAGCTCCACACTTTATGGGCGCTAATAATTAAAAAAACTAAAAAAAATGGTTCAAATTAGTTTGCCAAATGAAATGCTGTTAGTACTATCACGTTAATGAACAAATTTCCTTTAGAAATCTCGCCCATTTGTATGAAAAATGATAATTTTCCATTAAAATACTCGAAAGTGTGGCAACATTAAATATTTTTTATAAACTAAAAATATATATAATGAAGAATCATGCTCACATTTGCCTAAATGAGACGTTTTAATATTATGTATGGCACTCTTACTAAATAAATCAATTAATTTTAATATACAGTCAAACCTGAGTGAGTGAGAACTGGGTAAGTGAGAAAACCCTATGTGAGAGTAACTGTCATTTTAACCCTCTAAAATCCTCTAAGACAGAGAAACAGAAACCTCTATATGAAAAAAAATCGTTTTCATTCGTGGACCTCTATAACTGATACTGCTACTTACCCGTACCTTATACCTTACTTATAAGCGACAGTCAAGCGAATTTAACACCTGCTATTTATTTATGGCTTAAATTTCGTGGAACTAATGTTAGTTCCTAGTTAAACTCTGATGAGCAATACCCGTCCAATAAATACATACATACATACATACACTACAGGTTTGCTGTTTTTTTTAAACTTTACAAATGAGAAAGGTAATTCCTGTTGCTCTATAAATTAGAAACTCGGGTTAGTGAGAGATCTCTATAAGCGAGAAAAAGATTGCAGATCCTTGAACTCTTTCTTCTCCAGGTTCGACTGTATTGCCACACTTTTGAATATGGCAACTATAGTTTATACCAGAGAGTGTTGAGACTTGAGAGTGACCGCCGTAATCCTAAACTTACAATATAATAATAATTATAGAAAAATATTAAACGAGGACCTATATACACGGGAGGTTGTAAATTCCAAATAAATCCTTCGACACACACGGTTCACTTAAAAAAAAAAAAATTTTTTTTCTTAAATCAATCGTGTGTGTGAAGGAGATGAAGCCAAGTGAAAACTAACTTTGACCCTTCCAATTTTAAACAACGTTATCAAAATGTGTTCGATTAAAACTAACTTGTATGCGGTACAAAATATTTACATAATGTGAATAAGTGCAAAATTTCAACGACGTCTTAATACAGATATTTCATCTCTTTCTATTTGTATTCGTTGGAAAGAGATAAAATTGAAATTCATAATATTTTTTCATTCAGAATATATTATTATAATAACATACAAGACATATGGACTCATTTGATATACCAAAAAATATTTTTTTTTTAAACAAAAACATATTTTTTTCCATATTGAGCCCATATAAAGATCTTTTACAATATTTTTTTAGATAATGCATAATAAAGAGAAAAATATATTCCCAATACTAATAAATCGAAAGTCTCTTTCTAAAACGATATGTTAGAAAGATACAGATATACAAAGTAGTACTTAAAGTGACGTCGCGTAGAAACAATGGCTTATAAAGACCGAGACTCAGTCTTAGAGGAAAGCCGACCTTTTTAATTAGAATATAAAACCATTTAAGGTTAACCGACTCAAAAATTATGCAAAAAAGTTATTATTAGGGCAATGTGAAATATCGCATTTTACGAAATTTTGATAGAAAAAGATATTTTTCTTTGATTTTCTTTGTGTAGAAATTTCGTAAAATAACGTTTTTTCATAAAAAGACGTAGCAATTAGAATGTACAAACATTATTAGGTATAAAAATTTATACAAATCGCTTAACTAGGGTTGTATTCGCACCCGTTGATGTTACAGTCAAAGTGACGTCATATTGCAAAATAAATAAAATCTGTAAAAAAATAAACCATATACAAGTACAGATATAATTATTATTAATAAAAAAATGAAAAAAAAATATTTTTCTTTTGCAATACGACGCCATCTTCGAACAATTCGTCCTACGTGACTAGCTTTACACGAAAATATACAAACCAACTTACGTTATATATTTTTATATAATATAAATATAAATAAATTAATACAAAAATTAGGCAAATCCAGGAGAAGACATATGTATGTCCCGTACAAATACTAATCACACTTGTGCTTGAAACTTTATTTTAACATCAAACCTTTTTTGATCTAAAAAGAAAAACACTAGCCACCTTATTCGTCATCTTATTATTATAACCCAAATGACCACTTACATTGATTGGGTTTAATATTATTAAATTAAAATGCATATGACAAAAATTAATAAACAAATTAGTGGAGTAACATATTGATATATAAAATCTCCATCTTGAATAAATAACTGCGTCAAGTTGTATGACATTGAAAAATCCGAGCACGAGTTACGTTTAAATCCACTTTCAAGTAAATAGGCCAATCTCCCACAAAAATTAAATTACACATCTATAGTCTAAGATACCGATCTATGTGATGGACCATTCACTCTCTTTTCTGGAAATTCTGTTCAATTCTATTTATTCTGGAAAGAGAGTGAGAGGTCCACCACATAGATCGGGTTCTCGTACTATTTTATAGAATCATTATCAATTCTTATTCGGACTAATTCGAGAAAATTCGTTTTATTACATTTAAATATAATTATTTATATGTAAATAATTAAACATAATGTTTGCCACAAAAAAGAAAACAATTAAAAATTATTATAGAGACTTAAATAGATATTATTTTATTTAGGGACGTTTAGGTGTTGAATTTTCATAAACATTTCCTCAATACTCACCGACATACATATATCATATTCGTTCGTAAAGTTTGTCTGTCAGTGAATATTTTTTACCTCAAATCCTCACAAAGTATCGAACCCACGACATTTGTCACAGATTGTGAATAACAATAATTGGTTGATCTTGCTTTTGACATTTCATTAAATAAACAATAAACGTGTTTTTTTTAATTAATAATGTTAGTAATTAGAATGACCGTAAAATTCTAAAGATTTTTCACTTTTCTATTCTATATAAATCTCTGTAATAATTGTTCTTTTAGAATTAAAACGACCTAAATCAAAATTTTGCATTAAAATATTTAAAATCGATTTTCATTGAAACCTAATAATATTTTTCCGACCGATTCCGGCCACGGCGGCCAATCTCACTGAGACTAGCCAGATGCACGAGATATTGTATCGTATAGTGCAGACACAACGTGCACTCTCTGTTCCTGTCACTCTCACACTGCGGCGGGTGAAACACCGCCGACTTCCCAACTTCGGGCTATTACTGAGGCTTACTAAACAGAAAGACTCAGTAACTAAACTTGGCCCGACCCGGAGCTCGAACCCAGGACCTCCAGGTGAGCAGCTGTACATGCTAGCCACTACACCACTGAGGCAGTATTGACATATATATCTAACTCGATTCAAAACCAAAAATTCGATTTAGGTCATTATAATTCCAAATATGTTCCAACTAAAAAAAACCACAACACATTACTTTAAAAAAATACATATAAAAAAAATAACCTCATCCTTTTTGGAGAAAATCATCATTTAAACAACTTTCAAAACCGTAAGTTCTCTTTAAACGTGATATTTTCGTACGTATGCTAGCAATGGAACTGGTTCTGCGTTATTGCTGACAAATCCTTCATCAGACCCTCGAGGTTCTGCATTTCACGGTGGAGTCTCTCCGTTGACCGCGAAGGGGTCAGGGGTTCGAGTTCCTCTGAGCAGTGGGTCACTCCTCCACCTGTTGTTGATATAAAAAAAAATTATGTTAAATTTTATAATTAGAGTATAAATACGATGCAATATGCAATAAATACAAATGCAAGGGGGTGGGACTAAGTTGAGGGGTTGGAGGGGGGGGATGTCATGTGTTTTATTGTGACTTTTTATAGATTACGCCAAAAATATGTAAGTATATCCTTACCGAGCTGTAGTCTGTTAGGAATGTGTCCGGGGGAAGAGCTCGCACTCTTTTTGTATGGCGACGTCTCTCTCACACTGCCCGCTAAGTGAGAAAACAGATAAATAAAACTGAAGTGTCTGTGTGTAATGCCAAAATAACAACTTTTTACTATAATGCATATGAAATTATATACGGTACTTATAAGAAAAAAAACTAGTTTTAAATTATTTTATATTCTGTTTGTTCCAGCTAGTCTCCGAAACGGCTGGACCGATTTTGTCGGGACTTTCACTGACAGATAGCTGATGTAATAAGGAATAACTTCGGCTACTTTTATTTTAGAAAAATAATTAGAGTTCCGTGCAACAAAATGAAAAACACATGAAATCGTGAACAAATTTCGCGTAACTAGAGACGCAAGTCGATAGTAGAGAGTAAAATAATAAAGAGTCTTCCGTTAGTTATAGAACAGGAGTTATATACACCATAATATTTTTTCTATAAATATCATTTCACAATAAACAGCGTAACATAACTTAAATTAAATACCTTTTTTTGTGAAGTCGGTCAAAATCTTAAATATACACTATGTAAACATCCGACTTATTGTTTGTACAAGACAAATTCAACGAATTTTATCTTTTAATTGTAATATGTACTACACTCTTTGCCCGCGGCGTCACTCGCATGGTTTGTTCTATGAAAATCTTTTAATGCAAAATATTCTTTTTTTCAAATTCGCTAAGTCATTATGTTATAAAACTTCATACAAAACTTTCATCCCCATTTTCACCCCCTTAAGGAATGATTCTCGAGATAAAAACTATCCTATGTCCTTTCCTGGATCTGAAACTATCTTCTTACCAAATTTCATCTAAATCGGTCTAGTATTTTCGGAACCTATTCAGTACAAACAAACAAACAATGAAAAAAATCTTTCCTCTTTATAATATTAGATATATATAAATAAAGAAAAAAAATACCCTTAGAATGTGATGGCGTAGAATGGTCAGACGCAGTGTCCGGCAGAGTGAAGCTGTGCAGGGCTCCGCAGCCCGCGCGTCGCTGCAGCGACCCGCCCGCGCTCGTGTTGCCCACGCCCACGCCACCCACCGACCCCACGCCCACACCCACGCCCACGCCAGGCGCGCAGCCCACGTCGCTGCTTAGGGAGTCGCGACTGTTGGGAGTGGGAGTAGTGGGGTTATGAATTACAATTTCCAAATATAAAGTGAATAAATATAACTGGCACGGCTACAGGTTAATCGTTATTTTTGAAGACCCTAGGTTTGAATTAGAGAGTAAAAAAAAACTAACGAACGTTCTTCTCAACAGTTTAAAGAACAAAAACTACCTTTATTTATGACTAGCGACTCACGTTTGCTTCGCTCGGGTTCGTCCCTAGCTCACTTCCCAAAACAAATTTTCATCCCCATTTTCACCACCTTAAGGGATGATTTCCGGGAAATGTATCATTATATATTCCTTATATATCCCTCCTAAGGTCTCAAACTATATTCTTACCAAATTTCACCTCACAAACTTTACCTCTTTATAATATTAATACTCGTATATATATATAACATAACTCACTGTGTGTAATGTCCGAGCGGTTCATACGCCACGTAGTGTCCACGTTCGCGTGCGGTGCTCGCGCTGGCGTATACATCCGACCCGGCGCCACCCGGGACTCCCCCGCCGGGCACCGAACACGCACTACCCAACGGACACTGTCCTGAACCACCTGAGATAGAGGGAAAATTATATTAAAAATTATATAAAAACGGTTATTTAATTATCTAATTAAGAGAAACCAAAAACTAAAAAAATGTATGTGTGTGTAATTCACACATTGACACGTTAGAAGAGAAACTTCAGTAAAGTAACCCACGAGAGAATGAGATGAATATAATATTTGTACGTTTCATCCTTGCCGCGAGATGTACACACTCGTATGTGTGTCTCCGACTGTATGTATAGTACTATATTCCATCTTGAACTTCTTTTCATATTCTTAGTTAACTTTTACTCAGTCGGGTTTTTTATTTTTATAATATACTAGCACTGCCCGCGGCTCCACCCGCGTTCGGATGACCAAAAACCAAATTCTTAGGTTTTACATATTAGTATACTCTTACCCTGCAGTTTTCGTATTTTTTCTCAGAAATGAGGCATTTTCCCGCGGTAAAAAGTATCCTATACGTTGACCCGGATAACCAGCTATCACCATACCAAATTTCATCAAAATCCCTTAAGTGGTTTTTCTGTGACGCGGTAACAGACAGACAGACAAAAATTCTAAAAACTATAGATTCGGCCTCTGTATCAATAATAATGTTTATTTCAATAAGATTTTCTAAAAAATATCTAATGTATAGATTCGGCTTAGTTACAATTTTATTACCTATATGTACAGCTTTTTAGTTTTTCCAATCAGACATTTGAAGTTATATTTAGCATTTTTTATCCTAAATTATTATAAGTAAGTCAGGGTTATTATACCTTTTTGGAATCCTTGTTGTGAGCCCTTTAATATGATACCCATATTGTAGAAATAAAAGATTAAAAAAAACACTTTGAACAATGAAATCTAGCCCCCATTGTTTTTATGTCACCTATCTAAGAACACTTGGAGTAATGAGACGAGTCTAACGATACCTTAATTATAGAAATCCATCGAGTGGTTTGGAAGATATGAGGGAATAAAGAATATTACAAACAAACAAACATACAGAGATAGGCGCGAAAACATAACCCTTTTCGTTGCAATCGGGTAAAAAAAGGGATGAATACTCACAGGGTGCAGGTGGTGGTAGCGCGTGGTGGTGTAACGAGCCCAGCGAAGCCTGTGGAGAGCCCAGAGGCGCCACACCCGATAGTAGCGGCGTACTCTGTGATAAAATTCATTTTTTTCTCTATCTCTTTCTTTCTCTTTCTCTATCTCTTTCTTTCTCTTTCTCTATCTCTATAAATAACTTAGTTACAAACCACCAGAACGATGGTTTATTATTTATTATTTAATATATAGATTTTTTATATAGATATTATTTAATCAATATTCGTAAAATAAACTAGGGTTCGTTCCTAGTTACGTTGCAACGATTAGTATGAATCTATGAATTTCTCGGCTTTTCTGTACTATAATATGCATGTATTATACATATAAACCTTTCCACTTGAATCACTCTATCTATTAAAAAAAACCGCATCAAAATCCATTGCGTAGTTTTAAAGATCTAAGCATACATAGGGACAGACAGACAGCGGGAAGTGACTTTGTTTTATACTATGTAGTGATGACCAACCTTTATAGGTCTTTATCCGTTTTTTCAGTTCAGAGTATCGACGTACTACATCTATACAGATAAACAAAAACTGAAGTGTCTGTTTGTAATGTCAAAAGAATAGCGTTTTATTAAATGCATATGAAATTATATACGGTACTTATAAAAAACACATTTTTTTTAATTTTTGTCTGTCTGTCTGTTTGTTCCGGCTAAACTCCGAAACGGCTAGACCGATTTTGACGAGACTTTCAGATTCAGCAGATAGCTGACGTCATATGGAGTAACTTAGACTACTTTCACTTTAGAAAAACAATCAGGTTTCCGCGTAAATAAATTAAAACCCATAATATTGTGAACAAAATCGAAGAGAGGATCGGGATCTAGTTTAATCTAAATCATCATACATACACTTATATACAAATTTTCAAAATTATAATAGCCTGATATTCGTATAAAATTATATTTATTTAACCTGATCAGCCATGTGTCTTCTTCTCTCGCAGGTGCCAGTACATCCCACGCCCACTCCCACACCTACTCCCACTCCTGTCATAGCTGGAATAAATAATACTGGTTAAAATTTAATACTATACTATAATATAGAAAAAATATTATTTTTCAAAAAAAATAACGATTCCGACGAATCGAGAACCTCCTCCTTTTAGAAGAAGTCGGTTGAAAAATCAATCAAATTAAAATAAATAAAAAAATATATATTTAAATGATAAAAAAATGAAAATAAAACGTCGAAAACAGTGCAATAATAAAAATATAAATTGGTTTTGTGTCGCCATATTTTTTTAAAATTATGTATGTGTGTTTGTGTTATATTTTAAGAAATTTGTATATGTATTAACTGTCTCATTGGTCTAATGACCAGTATATACGGCTACAGATATGGAGGTCCGGGGTTCGAGTCCTGGCTCAGGCCAAGTATAATTATTGAGTATTTCTGTCAAGAAATTCCCTTTAACAGCCGCAGTTAAGAATTTGACGGTGTTCTCTCCCATACTTGTGCACTATAATACATGAAAAACGAAACCACAACCAAACCAAACTCCTGGGCACATGAATAATATCAGAAATCGATATATACTAGGGTGGAGCGAAAAAAATATTATGTTTTTCTTAGCTCGGTTGTAGAATTTGTAGCTTATAAAAAAAAATTAAATTAAAAAAAAATATTACTCTACATTTTGAGGTAGCCCCACTGATTTTTAAAATAAATAATTATTAATTTGAATTTTTGGTTTGAACGAAAAAAAATTTTTTTCGGGTGATTGATTTTCTTTGAAAACATTCAAGAATTGACGAATATTGCCATTTTCCATGTACATACTATGTAATATAAAAATAAAAAAAAACCAAAACAATGAACCTAATGGTAGCAGCGGCTCGCATCTGTAGTCGCAGCGGTGCGTCTCCTCACTGCCGGCGGACGGCGAGCGTCGCTCTATACACGACCGGTACAAATGTATGTATGTATATGGTGCAAATAACTTAAAATTGTTTAAATTAAAACAAAAATAAAAACAAAAAACGGTACAGAATGTATAAAAAAATTTTTTTTTTTGAAGTAAAAGTTCTTTAGGCGTGGCTGAGGGGTGGGTGACTGGAAAAATGAGTGTCGCGGAAGTGAGAGGCAAATTTATTATTGATAATTTATAAAAAAATATATTATATTTATATTCTAATAATAATTTTTACTTATACAAATGAATATTTATTATTAATAATTTTGTAAAAAAATGATTATATTTATATTTTAATTTGTTTTTATTTAATTGCAGTATCTGTCACAGCACCAAAGAAGTTTTGCTTCAACCAAGTAAACGTTTAAGTGGCAAAGAGCTTACTCTCTAGTGGCAATTAGCAGAACTAACTTGGACCGACAATTCTACTATTTAATCTGTGTTTTAATATTTATTAAAGTTTGAAGTGACCACAGATAATAAAATATTCTTCGTATCGTTAAATAAGTACTGTCAACTTTCATCAACTGTCATTAGTTCAAAAACACCCACTAGAGATCCTAATAATCGCAATTAAACATTAATAGCCTTAATTAATATAATCCTTCTAATGATATGAATGTAAATTAAAAAAAAAATTACATTACTTATAATATTATTTTTACCTTTATATTTATAAAATTAAATGTAGTTTTCGCATTATGAAAGAGCGAGAACAATGTGATCTATAATATTGGGACTAATGTTCTAATTGAAATAAAACCTTAGCCATGTTTTTACTCAAAACTGTACAAAAAAAAAAAAAGAAATTCATTCAGTCGTTCTCGAGTTATGCAAACAGACATACATACACAAAGTATTCAAAAATATTCGACCGACTCCAATCATCCCTTTTCCACCTTAAAGGTGGATTTTTTCACAAGTGACCTTCATTAAGATAGCCTATTCCTTAAAAAATAATTATCAAAATCGATCCACACATGGTGTAATTTATCGAGCAACTTACACACAAAAACATACACACGAATTGAGTACCTCCTCCTATTTGAAGTCGGTAAAAATAAAAACATTTTTTACACAAAAAATATACTATATACATATTTAAAGGTCGAATTGAGCTGATCGAAGCTGATCGATTTTTATTTAGTCAACGAGCAGGGGACTGTGAGACCACTATTCACTAACTACGGAACACCGGGACACTATGGCAAAGGGTTTTGTTTATAGAAACGAGGAAAACCCATCAAACCTGTGAGACCCACAACTCATTAAAACCCTCTATACATCCATGGAGTTAGTCTGACCCACTTACCAACATACGTGGGCACATATCGTCTATCCAAGCTGGCCAGTGAAGGGGCGTGGGCGTGGGCGTGGGCATGTCTTGCCGGTTCATACTCTGCCGCGCTGGGCGCGGCTCGAGCTAGGGTGAGAGTGGACGATACTAGCGCACTGCCTTCTACACTACCCGCCGAAACTGGTTGGAAAATGGTGATTAATAAATAAAAAAATATGTATTAAAAATAGAACCAAATTTTAAAGTCTCATTATGAGTACATTCATTTGATAAACAAAAATAAATCATATAAAAAGTGAGATAAATAGAGTGAGAGCGAGAGAGAGAAAGCGTACTCATTAATAAAACACAAAAATGAAACAAAAAATAAAGAATAGCTAGAGAGATAGTCCTAGCATATTCAAACACACAGAAAAAGTTAATTAAAAAATCTGAGGAGGAGAAATGAGAGAAAGAGAGAGTGATAGAGTGAGAGTGAGAGGGCGTACTCTTACTGGCGGAGCTGTGGAGGCTCTTATCCATGTGCTTCAACTCCATCTGGTCGTGATGGATCCACAGGTCGGGGGGTTTGATGGCAGCTGACGCAGACGCTTTTTGGTACGTACTGTAAATAAATAAACTATTTATAGTTATTTTTTAGGATTATTTATTCAGAAGACCAAACCAATACCCTTATTGTATTCAGTCCTTTTTAACGTCCCACTGCTGGGGGTGGGCCTCCCTTCAGTACGAGGGGAATCAGGCCGTAGTCCACCCCGCTGGTCAAGTGTGTTATTATTTAGTTTTATTTGTCTGTCAGTTCATAGTTATGTACTTTACTTATAATAGACTATTATTGTATATTAGCTATATGGGTGGTATTTGATAGGTAGGTGTCTCGTATGAACCGCAAAACAATTCTACAGTCAAATTATGAAAAATATAAAACTATTGGCATGTATATACATTATACAGCAACAAAACAACAAACAAAACGTCATATATCTCAGATAAAAAAATCAACTACAACTGAGACCCATGCCAACGCATAGCCCAAAGCACCTTTTTTTTAAATAGTTTTCCTTTAATTGCAAGAAATCTATCAAGAGATAAATGTCTCAAAATAACCATTTCTAAATTTCATTCACTCTGACCCAAAACAAACTAAAAAAAAATAAGTCAAAGAAGAAAACCTTCTTCTTCACCAACTTAACACCTAAGAAGAAGAAGAACAACCCACCTGGTATCCGGCGACATGGGCGGCTGGTGTCTACGGCAGCATAGAGACAGCGCGAGCGCAGCCGCCAGCGCCAGTACTGCGCACGCACCACCCGCGCTCGCCCACAACCACGCGGATGTCGCACCCGCCAGCCCACCACCCGCGCCGCTCTCTACAAGTTTATTTGAGGTATAAGACCATATATTTCTCAAAAAAATATTACAATTACATGAAAAATCACATTAGCTAAAGCTTAACACTATTATTGGGTACGTCGAAAAAATTCAAGCAAATTGTTTATATGTTTGTAAAAAAATAAATAACGCTCCTCATTGTAACCGTAGGTTTAAACTTCGTTTTTGTAATATTAAGTACTGTAATATTGTATATGAGTGCTGTCTGCATCTAGAAAAATGTATAACCTCGTATTATTTTGTAACCAATTTTTATTTCATACATGTGTTTGGTTATCATTTGTTTTGTGGACCAATAAACGAAAAAAAACGTGTGTGTGTACTTATATACGCTCGTAAGAAGTTATACTTGTTTGGCGTAACAGAACAAAAATAGCTAAAGATTTCATCCCGTATGTCAGAACTGTCTGTTTGTAAAAGGAATGCAGCTAACTTCATCGTGTCGCTTTCAGTTAACAAATGTCGCTGTTTGGCTGTCGGTGTGCGCGCGCATCGTAAAAATTTTACTTTCATAATGTTTTCTAAACTTGCCATAACTTCAAAAAGATATTACTAGAGCACAACCAATCCCGTGTAATCCCAACTCACCCAATCCCGTGGTATATGCAACAGTAGCACTGAAGGGCCCCAATCCCTTGCTATTTCGTGCTTGTATCTTGAAATTGTACGCAGTGCGAGGGCGCAGTCGCTCGACGCGCGCTCGCACTCGATCTCCTATAACGGTCACCGCCGTCCACTCTTCTGCTGCACCGCTCGTGCCGCGTTGGATTGCATACATTATTATGTAACCTGTGCATGTAATATATGTAAAATTACATTATATAACAATACTAATAATAACAAAAACATTGTGACACATATAACTAAAATAAACAATACCATGGAATAAGTGTGAATTCTATGTGCAACCTATGTAAGATCACACATAGAATATAATCTACAAAGATAAATAAAATTGAAGTGTCTGTTTGTAATGTTAAAATAACAGCGTTTTACTAAATGCACATGACATTATATACGATACTTATAAGATAAACATACTTTTTTAATTCTTTGTCTGTCTGTCTGTCTGCCTGTTACATATATCCTTCTATTAAACAATTCATCATTAGCAAAGAAATATTCACAAAATATAAACGCACCAAAATTCATTTTAACCAGATAATTTTGATCATAAAACCTAAATTATTCAAAAATAACGTTCTCCAGAATTTAACCGGTCAAACAAAGTAACCGAAACCTTTAACCGAAAACCTTTACAGTTTGGGGTTAAAGACCATTACCGGGTAAAAAATTGAACGTGTTTCCGAGCCCCAGCCCCACCCACCAGTGACTTCTCTCTTTTTCTTACACACACCAGCAACGTCTCTCCATCTCTCTCTTTCTCTCAGACTCACCAGTAATCTGCCCATTAGGTCGAGCAGGGGGATTCCAGGTGAGATCCGCTGCGCGGGCTGAGGGCGCTGCGGGCGACACTCGCAAGTCCCGCGGGGGAGTCCCCGGAGCTGCCTCGAGGGATGTATTGGACGCTAACATTGACCAGGCCGACTCGCGTCCACCTGTTTTGTAGGGTTTTTGGGTGAAAAGAAGAAGCTTGTGTATATAGATATATACACAAACATATATATATATATATATATATATATATGTGTGTGTGTGTGTGTATGTACGTACCTCGTATGAGTTTGACGCTGAACTCGTAGTGCGTGTATGGGCGCAGATCGTCCACCATACAGTTGAGGTCGGAGGCGTTGTAGACGCGCGTGCGGCCGCCGCCCGACCAACGCACCGCGTATCGACGCCCGTCTGTGGCCGTCTGTATACACGGACAGACAGACAAGTTAACTATACGTTAATCTGTCACCAATCCATATGACAAAATTACTAAAAAATATGAGATCTAAGATTTTATATGTTTTATTTCACTCGATAAAGCTAAAGAACCCTAAAGGTTCAATGAAATATTCTATACATCATTATACATCTATACACACAAAAAAATTGAATTGATTACTCCTCCTTTTTTGAAGTCAGTTAAAAAAATTCCACCCACCTGTCCTTTCGGCAAAGTGGGATCCGTCCAGTACACCACGGCCGTAGTCCCGCTCAACATTATTACCTGTAATATCATCAAATATCATTTCTTTCTACCCTTATTATATCTATACTAATATTATGAAGAGGTAAAGTTTGTGAGTTTGTGACGTTGTAGGGGGTAATTTCTGGATCTGCTGAACCGATTTAGATGAAATTTGGTAAGAAGATAATTTGAGACCCTGGGAAGGACATAGGATACTTTTTATCTCGGAAATTATCCCTTAAGGAGGTGAAAATGGGGATGAAACTTTGTATTTTGAAGCAAGCTGGGGACGAACCCGAGCGAAGTGAGGGTGAGTCGCTAGTTTATATATATAACAGATCTGTCTGTGGCATCGTAGCTCCCGAACGGATGAGCCGATTCTGATTTTTTTTGTTTGAAAGGTGAATTAGTCGGGAGTGTTGTTAGATATGTTTGATAACTGTCCAAGATGGTCGAGGACTTTTTTCAATTTTTAATTTATAAAAGTAAAACTAAATAAGTAGAAACTGAAGTTTACATAGGTAACATTAGCAAAAAACTTTAAGAGATACATCAAAACAATGTACTCGAAAATTGTAGGTCTTAAAAAGGCTTACTGAAAAGTCCCTTATAGTATATGTATGTCTATATTCTAAGTTACGCTCACATCTATATCCACTTACCTTCACCCCCACGGGTGGTATCAGGGGGGGAGTGTCATCTTCCTCCTCATCCGGATCATCCACATCTGTGTCCGGTTCATCCGGCTCATCATCATCATCCGGCTCCGCGGGTTTCGTCCGGACGGTGGCGTACACCGCGGGGCCCAGGCCGAGAGCGTTGCTCGCGCGAAGTGATATTACGTATTCGGAGTTCGATTCTGGTTATAATTGAATTGAATGAATTGGTTATAACAAATTAATTGTTGTACATTTAAATTCAAGATTATGATACATCTCGCATTAGAGTCTAACTGTATGTATGTATGAAATAGGAAATTTTAATACTTTATTAATAATTATTATTTAATCTATATTACATTATGTAAATTTCTCTTTTTTGATATAGCGTAGTGCATTTATCGAGTTAAAAAAACCCAAATGAAACCTATTTTCACTTGCTCTTTGATCGTGAATGAGAAGGCAAATGAAATATAAAGACTGCATTATGTGAATCATGTATCAGTTCTTTAGTCTGTAACATTATATATATATATATATATATATATATATATATATATATATATATATATATATATATATATATGTGTGTGTGTGTGTGTACATCACTCACCCAAAGCCCTTATAACGTGCGAGTGCGCATGCGCGGGCAACTCGCGCGAGTGCGAGTCCGGCACTCCCAGCCCCCAGCCCAGCCAGTAGCCCCGTACGAGGCCTCCCCCCACTCCTCCTCCCGCCCCCTCCTCTACCCCGTCCTCCCCCCACCACACTGAGATCCAGTCGCGGCCAGCGCGTGCTGTATAGATGAGGATTGTTTGGAATTTAATTTTGACTGACTGCCTTTATTATATCTATACTAATATCATAAAGAGGTAAAGTTTGTAAGTTTGTGACGTTGTAGGGGGTAATCTCTGGATCGATTAAACCGATTTAGATGAAATTTGGTATTTGAAGGACATGGAATACTTTTTATTCTGGAAATCATTCCACGTGGCAATGAAAATTGGGATGAAAGTTTGTATTTCGAATCAAGCTAAGCGAGCTCGAGTCGCTAGTAATATAATAAGGAGGTAAGTTAGCCTGTAAGTTTGTATATAGGGGCTAATCTCGGAAATTACTGAATTATTTATTAATTAATAGTATTCTGAAAATTGTTTCACTAATAGGTAGCTATATAACTAACATGTAATGCGAAGTCGAAGGTCGTGGGTTCGATTCTCGGATCTTTTCAGATACAGTGTGGATTTCAGGAGCAGGTGGTAGTACACATTCATGCCTCACATGACATCGTTATTATTATAAAGCAGGTCTCATAACTCACTGGTCAAGGGCGGTGGCTGCGCGGGCACGGCGGTCTCCGCGCGGCGTCGCGCCTGCGTGCTCGCCGTCACCCATTCGCTGAACGGGCCCGAGCCATTCGCGTTCATTGCGCACACTCTTATCTGTGGTAGGGAACGAATGAATGAACAAGAAATTTTCGAAGTTATACTTCTCTTGGGACGTTTGGAAAAAAATATGAGAATAAAATTTTTACGATGCGCGCGCACACCGACAGCCAGGAACGACGTGATGAAGTTAGCTGCATTCATTTTGGAAACGAAGAGTTTGATATACAGGATGAAATCTTTAGCTATTTTTGTTCTGTTACGCCAAAGAAGTATAACTTCTCACGTGCGTACATAAGCACACACATATGTTTTTTTTATTACTATATAGGCTTGCGCTAGACAACAATCAAAGCTGGGGAGCACTGATGAGGTCTAGGTTGAAGCGCGCTTGCCTAGAACATACTCTTGCCTTAAAGGTACTCATATTTTAGGTGACACGAAACACGGATGCTAGAAGGGTGTTCCAAACCTTAGCAGTTCGTTTCAGAAATGTTGAACTAATAATTAAAGAACTAAAGTTAATAATTGAAAGAATAAATGAATGGCATTGTGCACTTATTTTTAATGAGATTGGCCGCTGTAACAAAAGTCGATCAAGAGGACATTATCTGTACTAATTATGAATGCGAAAGTAACTCTGTCCGTCTGTTACGTTTTCATGTCTAAGCTGCTGAACCAATTTTGATGAATTTATATATAGGTAGATGCGACCGTGACGAAGGATACAGGGTACTTTTTGTTGAGAAAATAAAATTTGAAGATGAAATAAGGTTTGAAAGTTTGTATGGGGGACCAACTACTATACTTACGATGAATATTTTTTTAGTTATTTCACACGAACTTAAGGACACACCCAAGGAAAGCGAAGGTAAATCGATAGGTATAAATAAATAATTCAATTCAATTCCATCCCATTCTATTTTAATGGCGGTGGACATCCATTTTAAAATAAAACGACTAGGCAATAAAAAAATTACATGTAACATTAAATAAACATATAGAAACTGAGTACGGTGACTTGTTATTAATTGTCAATATAATGTCAATCAATTCTTAATCTAAAGTCCTTTAAAATAAAGTATATTTTTATTTAATGACTTATCGAGATTATATTCACCGTATCAACTTTTAAGTCCACATTATGTCAATCAATTATTAATCTAAAGTCCATTAAAATAAAGTATATTTTTATTTAATTTACATTACCTGATATGTCTGTGCTGGTTCCAACCCCCTTAACTCAGCACGACGGGTATCTGCGGGGGTAGTTAGAGAGTCCGCTCGTCTCCGTGAGTTCCCCGTGCCCCCCGAACCACCTAAGGCCCCCGTGGCACGATACCGTACTTTGTACCCAGTGAGGGGCCCTCGATGGGTGCGAGTTGGAGGGGCCTCCCATCTTACCAGGATTGACTGTGAAAAATTAGTTTCATTAGCATTAAGAATGCTTTTTAAACTTAACGTAAAACATGAATATGTATTGGAGACGTCGATGTGAAAGTCAGATTTGTCTGTTATTTTGAGGATATCATGACATTAAGCAGACCATGAAATAAGTTTAGTAGTTATTGAAGCTATATATATGTCTTATCATCCAATAATACATAACCCGATTTTTTGTAATGAAATTAAACACTAATATTTATTTAGATTTTATTCTTCTAAGTCTCCCGTCCTCTTAGCAATAAATCTAACTCCGTCCCTTACCCATCGAATGTCCACTCCCAACATTAGCACCTTTGATATCACCTCCAATAACCCGACCTATACAAAAACCAAGACTACACCCTACACCTCCCCCCGAGCCAAGATCCTACACACCCACTTCTTCCCCATAAGTTTCTAAATTCAAATTCAAAATATTGTATATAATAAGCGTCAGACGTGATAAGAACTGGCGCAAGAAACTCAGCGGGACTAATATTATTTTTTCATGTTTTTTTTATAAAGTTAAATTATAAATTACAATACATATTTCTATAAAATTGATGTAGCCAAGAGGCGATCACATCATTCCCAAGGCTCTACCCAACTCACTGTATTTCCACCCCAACATCAACAACATTAACATCAACTCCAATAACCCGACCTATACAAAAGTCAAGACCCTACACCTCCACCCCCCCACAAAAACCAAGACCTACACCCCCTCTTTCCCCCAAAAACTCCCTTCTCCCCAACTCACCGTATCCCCACTTCCAACAGCAGTAACATTAACAGGTGCTGCAGCTGGTACATCTGAAGGCGTGTGAGCTATCAGCTCGCGCGTCACGCCGCCCGCTGCCGAAACCCGCACGCGGTACTGGGTTGCCGCCCGCAACCCACTCAGAGTCACCGATAACCCTTCGATCCATTGGGACTGTTCCCGACCTGATTCCATCTGGTGTAACAAATGTAGATTTCTTTACCACGAGTTATATAAGTAACATTACATTATATAACAATACTAATAATGATAAGAACATTGTGACACATATAACTAAAATAAACAATGCCATGGAATAAGTGTGAACTCTATGTGCAACCTATGTACTATTACACCTAGAATAATCTACAAAGATAAATAAAATTGAAATGTCTGTTTGTAATGTCAAAATAACAGCTTTTTACTAAGTGCATATGGAATTATATCCGGTACTAATAAAAAAAAACTGTTTAAAATGTCTGTTTGTCTGTATATGTTCTTGGTAATCTCCAAAGTGGCTGGATCAATTTTGACAGGACTTTCATTGGCAGATAGCTGATGTTTTGATGAGAAACTTAAGCTACTTTTATTAAAAAAAGAGTTAGTTATTCGCGCCAAAAAGTAAGACCCATAAAATTGAAGCGAAGAAAGGGCAAATCGCTAGTAATTTCTAAATGGTGACCTGAAGATGGTAAATTGATACGTTTTTATAGGAAAAAGGGGCAAACGATCCACCTGATGCTAAGTGGCTATCGCTACTTATAGACACCTGCAACACAAGAGTTATTGCGAATGCGTTGCCGGCCTTTAAGGGACTTGAATACACAACTCTTGATACGTATGTAATATGTATTCAGCCATTTTTAACGCTCCCACTGCTGGGCGTGGGCCTCAGACATGCAGGTTTCCTCGTGATGTTTTCCTTCACCGTAAGGCAAGTGGTAATCATGTTAAATGATTATGATACGTACCTCAGTATAATACACAGCATATCGTGTAGGGGGTGGGGGTGAGGTTACAGATGGCAAGGGGGATGGACGTTCCCACCAAACTCGCAGCGCGTGCGCACCCAACGCCTCCGCCTGCAAGTTCTGTACTGCGCCGTAAGTCAATTCCTCTTCGGGGGTCGTCACTTCGATTATCTGTAAGGTAAAAGTGATAAGAATAAAGAGCGCGCCATAATATCGTCTCAGCGAGATTTTCCACTGTTGCCAATAGCGGCCAAAACGGACATTAATTTTAGGAACTGTTATGTTATTTACAAATTATTACAAATCGGAATTAAGTACTTTTTAATCAATTAAATTATTTTTTTATATAAAAGTTACACTTACTCTACGACATCGAAATAATTATTATCTCACCTTTAGGGGCAGATATATTTAAGAAATTTGACATATAAAAAATTGACACAAAAAAATCAACCGAATTAAGTACCTGCTTCCTTTTGAAGTCGGTCAAAAACAACCAAGTTCACATATAACAAAAAGTATGTAATGGCAGTGATGATCAAAAAAGTACTAGATACACAATCTCGTGGAAGAGTTCTCTTAAAATTATCACCAAATGTGTTTAGGTAATTATTCTAGTTGAAATAAATACACAACAATTTAAATTGAACTTTAAACAACTTAAAGATGTTTTCACAAAAAAACTAAATTAAAAGCGCGCTCAAATTTTCAAATGAGCGCTCATTAGGTGAGTACTTTTTTGATCGATGTCACACACCCAAAAAACCAACAAACCAACCTCAGTGGGCGGTGAAGCTGCGTGATGAGTGAGAGCCACAGCCTGGAACTGGTATGTTGTATTCGGTTGTAACGCCGCAACATTCATTTCATGCCTTCGTCCTTCACCTCGGGACATACGTTCTCTGTAAATTGTTTAAATAAGTCATGAAAATGACCACAATAATAGTATTTATAGAAAAGCTTTGTTGGTTAATACGTTTGTTACATCTACACGCTGCCGACGAGTATTCTTTAAATAATATGTTGGGACATTAACACACAGTACCATCTAGTTCTATGGTAAGCTACAAGGCTTGTTTTATGGATACGAGATAGGTGATACACTACACATATATAACTTTGAATACATACATATTATAAATATAAACACCCATGACTGGAGTACAAACATTCGCGATCATCACACAAACGAATGCCCTAAGCGGGAGTCGAACCCGCGACCGCTGACACAGCAAGTAGGGTAATGTAAAAAAAACACATCAATTATACCACAGAGACTCCCCACAAAAATAAGACAAAAGAGAAAAAAAGACAAAAAATCGACTCACCGTACGCTGCCCTTCACTTTGTACAAAATAACATATCCTGTTACATCCTCCATCTTATGTTCCGGTTCTTGCCAACTCAACGTGACAAACCTATGTTTTACTATCACGGCCCTCAAATCCCGCGGGGCAGTCACTATAGTGCTGTTTCCCTTCATCCCCCCCTCCAATTCTGGTGCAGCGTGAAAATAATCATTATCAAACTCTAAAACATTTTCGTTATAATCATCGTAATACGGCTCTGATGTGTATGCAGAGGAAGTTTCGCCTAGGAAATCTATATCTTCGGTAGGATCGGTTTGGTCGAAGTCACTTGAAACTAGAGTGTTGAAAATATATGACGAATTGGGTTTTGGATTGTCTGGAAGGAATTGTAAACAAAAAAACAATGATATAAATAAAAAAAACATTAAAAAAATATATAAGTTCATTGAAAATAAAATTATAAAATAAAACCAAAATTGATTAAATGAGTGGTTACAAATTAAAAAAATAATCCGAAAATAAGGTACATTTAAAACACAAAAGATACATATAAAAATGAAGGTAAAAATAAGAAAATGTAGCAGGAAAGGGAAAATATTAGTATCAGAACGTCGCTCTATTTATGCAATACTTTAAGGAGAAAAAATATTACCCATCATAACAAAAAAAAATTAGACTTAAACCATTACATTTTAAGTCATCTTCCACTAAAATTAAATCAATTTTGTCAAAAGTCTTTTCTCAAGACCACTAATCTCTTACAAAAAGGAAAGTAAGAGAACCCCAAAAACGGAAGTATAGGAAGATGAGAAGACAGCTGGAAAAAATTGGAAGTATACTTACCATGCGGAGACACAAGTAGACGTAGAGCTGCCACAGCACTGCCAGCGGGGGAAGAGGCCGAGCATTGGAACACGCCCGCGTCCACGTCTAACACGCCTCGAATACGTAGTGACGTGCTGGGGATATAATATTCAGGTATTACGATACATGGTAATATTTAAGACGAGAATATTTAGGCTATTTTGACCGACTTCGAAAAGGAGGTGCTTCTGTTCACAGTATACATACAACCTATGTGTTCTGGTTAACAAAATACTATACAGTGAAAAAAAAAACAATCTATCCCACGGGAACCATAAATTTTTTCGAGATAAAAAGTAACCTATGTGCTATTCTCTCTGTGCCAAATTTCATTCATATCCGTTCAGGCATTCTGACGTGTTGAGTAACAAACGTCCATCCATCCAAACTTTCGAATTTATAATATTAATAATTGAAAATTATTTTAAGTATAAATCCCAGCTTTCTAGCTAACAAGTTTCCATATTTCAATACATATGTTCCAAAAAAATCAAAACATCAGAAACAAATCATAATAATCCAAAACAAAAAACAAAATAAAAGAACTCACCCATCAACCAAAGCTATATCGTGGTTGTTCGGTGTGAGGGGTTCCCCGTCTTTCAGCCACGTGACAGTCGGCGTGGGGCGTCCCCGCACTTCACACCGTAGTGTGACGTCACCACGTGTGCGTGCTCGCACTATTGAACCTTCCTTTAGTGTGACTCGGGGCGCCGTCTATATTCAAGATGGCTTATTAAAAATCAAATGTTATATTTAAATTTTGACTTGAATTTCTCTGCAAGCCTGCTATTTTCAAAACAACATAAAGGCATGTTAGTTAGAGCTATTGCGTGTGAACTAAATCATGTTTTATTGAATTTTTATTCAAAGCAAATATCGGCAAATATTTTTTTACTAAGGAAAACTGTTCTGTCCTAAATTTTTAAAGATTATTATATCCCATATATACATATCCCAAAGTTTCCCATCACCAACCACAACCCCATCATTATCCTCCTACCCCTTTCACAAATCACTAAGATTCGGCACAGTATGTCTTACCTACTGCTGATCGGTTTTGTCAAAAGTTTTACGATCGGCTGCCTGTCTGACCACAAACCAACCTTAGCCGCCTGGGATATGTTAGTAAGAAATTAAATCCCAAATTGGGATTGATGATAGGAAAATCAAATCCCCAATCCGACCACCCCACAAATCCCAACCCCAATCCCCCGGGATCCCCCACTCACCATAACATGTAACACAGCGGAATGATCCGCCGCATCCAGCGCACTGGCGGCACGGCAAGTGTACGTGCCGGCGTCTTGCGCGCGCGCGGTCGACACACGAAGCGAACCTGAACCAGCCAGGTAGAATCGGGAGTCTAAATCGCTGGGTAAAGGATATATATTTATTAATTATTATCTATATACATATAATAAAATTCTGAGTCTAATCTGTACATTAAATATTTTTTGGAAAATCTTATTGATATAGTCATTATTATCGATACAGAGACCAAATCTATAGTTTTTAGAATTTTTGTCTGTCTATATATCTGTGATCACGTCACGGAAAAATCACTGGAGGGATTTCGATGAAATTTGGTATGATTGTAGTTGGTTATCCGGGCCAACATATAGAATACTTTTTACTGCGGGAAAACATCTCCTCTCATCAATCTGTACTAAACGTTAAAGCGTTACGGTGAGTCATTAATGTTCGCTTCAATGAAATTACAAATACACTTATATCGTATAATCTCAAACAAATAAAATTGAAGTGTCTGTTTGTAATGTCAAAAAAAACACCTTTTTACTAAATGCATATGAAATTATACACGGTACTTATAAGAAAAAAAAACAATTTAATTTTTGTCTGTCTGTTGGTTCCGGCTAATCGACGAAACGATTGACCGATTTCGATGGGACTTTCACTGACAGCTGGTAAATAGCTTAGGATATTATTAGAAAAAGAATTAGTTATGCGCAAAAAAATTAAATCCTATGAAATTGTGAACAAAATCTGATTCAAGTAGGGAATTATATATACAATAGTAGAACCCGCGGCTTCGCTCGCGCTAAAACTATAAAAAAAACTCTAAAAAGGTAGGTTTCATACAAACTTTCATCCCCTATTTTACCCCCTTATGGGATGAATTTAGCAAAATGCTAAAACACGTATTTACTTAATTATATTGAAGAGCCTACTGACTACTACCTGATACTTAATTATATTAATACCAAGTGTCAAGTACTTCTGATCATAAATATTTTTTTGGGTTGTATTATAACGTGTTTTCCCGTGTGAACTCGATGATCTCCCGAGAAAAAAAATAGCTATGTCACTCTCCAGCTCTTCAAATATCTCCACACTAAAACTCACGCCAATCCGTTTCGACGTGAAAGAAGGACAAACAAACAAACACTTTCTGCGTATATTGTTTACAATATCTTGAATTTTAATTTTTTTGCGAAGATTTTTTTTATGAATGCACGTAATCAGGAAATTTGAAGGGCATCGTTTTTGCCTTTTGACTATTGAATCCTTGTGATGTGACAAATAATTGTATTCGTATTCGCATTCGCGAAAATTCGCATATTTTTTGATATTCGCTTTCGCATTCACAAGAAAGAAAAAGGAAATTATATGTGGAATAGGTAGACATGGAATGTATGCAACTGATAAGATTTATATATTTTTATTAACTTGTAATATTTAAAATAAAAAAATGATTATGAAATCCGTTTAGCCGTTTGCAGGCCATCAGCTCATTTCTAGACGGTAAATGGTAATTCAAAAATCCCCAGTACTAATGCAAATGGTACTTGGGTGCCATTTTTAAATTTTTGAAATCATTTTTGTAAAATAGTGGGTGGGCACTGTCTGTAACAAGTGTATAACGCCTTTGAAACGTCTACAACCTTAGCCTCTCCCGTGACCATGTGCGCTGTAAAGCATTCGAAACGTCGAGAACCAAAAATCAAAATAAATCCGGGAAATAATACAAAAAGTTAGTTTTATTTAGAATGTCAATATTATATACGCGTAAATCTAAGAAAGTATCACTTTTGAATCGTCAATTTTACATTTTAAAATTAAATTAAATATATATTTTTCCATTCCACCATATATTTTTTTCTAACCATTAAAATAAACGTGTATGTGTGAAATTATGTGCGTGTAATAAGTTATACTTCTTTGGCGTAACAAAACAAAAATAGCTAAAGATTTCATCCCATATGTCACAACTCCCTGTTTGTAAATGGAATGCAGCTAACTTCATCACGTCGCTTTTTGGCTGTCGGTGTGCGCGCGCATCGTAAAAATTTTACTCTTCTATTTTTTCCAAACGTGCCAAAAGACGTATAACTCCAAAAAAATGAATACTTAATTCAAGTATTTGTAAATAAAATTAAATCAACATTCGCATTCGCATTTGCATTCGCATTCGCGAATATTGAAGATGAATATTCGCATTCGCGAATGAGAAAAATCGAACATTCGTTACATCACTATTAAATCTTTGTAACCTTAAGAGAAATGCTACGACATATATACATATATCAATTTATTTAAATATTTAATGCAACTTACTTCAGATCAATAGCAACACCGTTGTTCAGCCACACCATTTCAGGCTTTGGGTTTCCAATAGCCGCACAATCTAAGGTCACAGATGCACCTGAAATTTTTATATAGCTTGTACTTAAAGGTCTAGGAAGAAAAAAAGATGTGTAGGGGTTTGTCATGAACAATGTTTTGTTTTTTAACCCCCGACGTAAAAAGAGGGTTTTATAAGTTTAATGTGTGCATCTTTGTATCTGTCTGTGGCATCGTAGCGCCCAAACGGATGGACTGATTTTAATTTAGTTTTTATTTTGTTTAATAATTGACTTAATCGAGTGTTGTTAGCTTTAAATTAAGAAAATCGGTTCAGCCATTTTCAGGTCATCAGATCTTTACTAGACGGTAAATGGATATGAGCAACTTCCACAGATTTATAGTAATTTTTTTATATATTCTTCACAACGCATTTTTGTACCATGAAAAGGAATATACCTAGTTATTTTTCTAATAAGCAGTAAGCACTTCTCGTCCGGTACACTTGGATGAAGAAAGTTGGCAACATATACACAGTAAATCACGTGATAACGGCTATGTTTTTTAATTTAATGATGGGGTTTAAGAGATGATGATATGGAGGATAGGATCCTAAAAACAATAGATATCACCTTCCATCACAGTAACGGATTGTGGTGTTGCTATGAAGCGAGGAGCTGACTCTAAGTTGGCAAGCTCACTGTTGACCTTCAACTCAATTTCAGGACCTAATCTGTAACAAATACACTTAATTATTAGCTTTTGATTTATCCTCGTAAGTTTTAAACTACTAGTGAGCTTTACTTAATTGCCTCGGTGGTCTAGTGGCATGTAAAGCCACAGATACGGAGATCCTAGGCTCGAGTCTCGAGTCGGGCCAGTTCAGTTATTGAGTATTTACATCAAGAAATTCTCATTAACAGCCCGGAGTTGGAAAGTTGGCGGCATTCACCCTCGTGCCTCGGAGAGCACGGTCGTGTCAGTCCTACGCCTTAACTCTCACTGCTCGTGTCGAGAATCGTCCCATCCGACTTTGAGAGTGACAGGAATAGAGAGTGCACATTGTGTCTGCACTATACTATATAATATCTTCTGCACTGGCTAGTGTCAAAGAGATTGGCCGCCGTGGCTGGAATCAGTCGGGAGGGCGTTATAATTTATTATTACTCTATATGGGAGTATTTCTTTTGGACAGTTCAAGACTATATAGCCACTCACCGCCTATAGCAATATTTTCATTTCAAATATTATTTTCACAATCAGTGATCGATAATTTCATTTAATTTGACAAAGCGCTTTCAGCAGAAAAGCCTGTGTTTGTAAGATTTTATTTTTAATATTATAACTTTTGGTGTCTTATTTTCCGGAAGTCTCCAAAGGTTTCTAATATGGTTACTGTAGGGCGGAAGTCTCGAATAAAATAATTTTTAGTCTGTACACCACCAGGTATTACCAGGCTACGTCAGGCAAAACTACGCTTACATAACGTGTGTGTCACACCAGTGCAGCTTAATAACTATTAAAAACTCTAAAAACAAAAGGTAACTTATTAAAAAAACCAATTTACTTAGTCTGTGAATGTGAGAACGCCAGAGCCACACTACACCGGTACTTGGCTGCGTCGTGAGCTCGCAATGGATCGAGCTCAAGAGACCCGCCTGGTGTGAGGGAGACCCGCGCAGCCTCCATACGTAGTGGAGAACCGTTTTTTAGCCACGTCACCTGCAATTAACGTTCTGCTTTAAAATACATCGGAATATTATCATAAAGCAGTGCTAGCCACACAAAGCAGGTTCAAATCCCGCATCTCGCACCACTGATATTATCATGTGTTTCAAATCATTTCTAACGCCTGCCTTACGGTGAAGGAAAACATAGTGAGGAATCCTGCATGTCCTTGTATCGAAGGGGGCCCGTGCCCAGCAGTAGATCATTAAAAAGGGCTGAGTATATACATACATTATCATAAATGCAACAATGTGTACGTGTGTATGTCTTTGTTACTTTTTCACGTCGTAACGGCTGAGGCGATTTGGGTGAAAATGCACAGATCTGGAGTAGTAGATATGCACCATAGTACACAAGCAAAGCGAAGATAAATTGCTAGTAATTAAATACCCTAAAAAAATCGTGTGCATGTCTGCTTGTATTTTTTCATGTGTTTCTAAATTGCTAAAGAAACATCAAAAAATGTATAGGCAGATATATCAAAAGGTCCTCAACATAATTACTTCTAAGACGAAGGCATGGATTTTTAGAAAAAACCTCTACTTATACGAAAACTAGGACTACTAAAAGGTTTTATATGTAACATGGCACAAGTTTTACATAATAGCGGTGTCAACGTCCAGGATACATTTCCTATAATCAAATCAATGCAAAATATATATTCAAATAGACTTTTCCCATCCCTTTTGCATCGTCTATTTTACATATTTTAAATCAAACGCCAGTATTTGTCCCTAAGGAAGCGGAAGCTCAGAAGTCACTCGTTCATAAAGACAGGTGAACTCCAGTGGGATAGCACATAGAACTTAAAAAAAAATGTATAGAGTATATCGGAGGCAGACGACTTGAAAAACGTCCAGTTTGTGCAGGTAATTCAAAATATACATTAATATATATTAAAGGAAGTAATATTTTCTTTTAAACTGAGAATTATTTTCAACTAGCGACTTGTCCTCGCGCCCCTGGGTACGTTTTATTTTTTTTGAGCGGAATACCAATTATTTTTCTAAAATAAAAGAAGTCTAAGTAACTCCTTATAATATCAGCTATCTGCCTGTGAAAGCCCTCAAAATCAGTCCAGGCGTTTCAGAGATTAGCCGGAACAAACAGACAGACAAAAAAATGTATTTATCTTATAGATACCGTATATAATTTCAAACGCATTTAGTAAAAAGCTGTTATTATGACATTACACGCACACTTTAATTTTATTTATCTGTAAAGATTAAACTAATAGAATTTACTACTTTAGTACCAAAAAGCTCTTTAGAAGATCAGAAACATACATTTATATAGAACGGTGTTTAAATTTCTGGAAACGTCGTTACTTCGTGAATATTATATGAACACTTTCCCCGAGGCCCAAACTCCCATTACTTCGAAACCGTTCAAACTTTCAGCGATAAAACGATATTGAAGTGGTTTTTTAAAGTTTGGTTTGCAAATATAGAGTGTTTTTAGTTAACAACGAGAAACAAAAATATGATGTTAGACGTATCCAAAAAAAATTTTCATCTTTGAAAGGTTAGCCAATTTTGTTTGATAAAATATTATTCATAAAAATATGTAGAAGATTTTACAATTTACATAGAAAATAGAATATAAAATAATACTTTAAAATCAAAACATACGCCAAAGAGACATGAACATACATATGAACATATCCAGTTCTCTTAGAATATACTATTAGTAGAGTGGTCAAAGATAAGCTTACATTAAGTTTAAGAACTGGGGGTGGCGAATGTATTTTTGCTGCTCCATAGACCCTTCTCTCGACGGGGGACGAGGGTGAGGGTATGATGCGTACAGCCAGTCGAGAGGGCAGTCTAAATGGACACGTCAGTAGAGCTGGTGATCCCAAAACACCCATTATCACTCGAGGGCCTTCCTCTATTTCAGGGATTTCTGCAAAATAAAAACACGATTTTAGATTCGAATATCAGCTATCTGGTATCAGCTATAGGTACAGTCTAAAATCTTTGTCTGTCCCGCGATCATGATTGCTGTACAACATTCGAAACATCGGGGACCAAAAATTAAAATAAATCTGCGAAAAAATCCGAAAAGATAGTTTTATTTAAAATCTCAAATATTCGCGTAAATCTTCTATGCTAGTCATGCTAGTTGCACTCTACTGGTCGTGCTAGTTGCACGCGGCTCGAGACGTATACACATCACATAAAAATGGCGACTGAACATGACACTGGCATAAAATTTGAACTGGAAGTTGAAAAATATCCTTCTTTGTACAACATTAAACTACCCGAATACGATAAAAGGGATATAGTGCATAAAGCTTGGTTAGAAATTGGACTAAAAATAAATTTAAAATAACATTTAATGTCTTTTTTCAATGTACGAGTGCACCTTAAATCTTCTTTTTCACCTGTTTATATAATGGATATATATATATATATATATATATATATATATATATATATATATATATATATATATATATATATATATATATATATATATGTATATATATAAGCTAAAGTCACTTGACATTGTACTGAACAACTCAATAAAATAAATCAAGTAATATAGTCAATTTGAGTAACGTCGTGTACTAAAATCGGTTTGATTGAGTAGCATACCAGCGTCTCATTCGCATAGCTTAGATATTTAGCTCAGATATTTCTGTTGGAGAAATGTCTAAGAGGTAATATATAACTCAAAGAAATACTTAAAAATTCGGCCATTTATAGATTTCTTCCGCGGCTAAGCGCGCATAGTATATTAATTAAAATTTATTGTTTCGCCCTTTGCCTTATTGCACGATATTAGATATGCACGTCTAAAATTCCGTCATGAATAAACAGGCTTATAGTTCAACGTTAGATTTCTCAGAGATGAGATATTTTCCCACAGCAAAAAGTATCTTATATGTTGACCCGGATAACCAGCTATCATCATACCAAATGTCATCAAAATCTGTCCAGTGGTTTTCTGGTGATGAGATTTCTGACAGACAGACAAAAATTCAAAAAACTAGATTCGACCTCTGTACCGGTAATAATTACTATTTCAATAAGATTTTCCAAAAAATATTAAATGTACAGATTCGACTCAGTTAAAATTTCATTATATGTATAGATATGGTATATATCTATGTATATTATATGAATAAGCAAAGACAAAAGTAGACAGTTCATTACCATTTTCTCCTCTGTTTGTCAACCGGTTTTTTTTAATTAGTAGCTATTAACAACCAGATAATACTAAACGTAACAAATTTTTTTGAAACATTTTTTTTATATCTATAGATAAATTCTATTGATGTAGATATGTTTTCATAAAAATTATCCATTTATGATTTTGATCGACTTAGGTATACTAATTAATAGTTAAATATTTAATATACAAATAACAATCTTACCTGCTAGGAACAAACTGGCTACCCTTGACACAATAGTGCCGATGCCATCCATAGTGGCGACGCACTGGTACTGTCCAGCCAATGTTGCTGACATGTTCTCTATAGCTAAAGACCCGTTTGCTAGCTGTCTCCTGCAATTATAAGAAGATTCCAATTGAACACCTGGTCTTACGAAACCTCAATCAGAAGTCATGGGTTCGAGGTTCGCTAGGGACATTTTTCACTTTGGCAACATAAATATTTGATGATTTTGATGAATCAATCATTGGTCCTTTTGTATTACAAAAAATATTCAAATCAGTTCCATATTACTTTTATTCAAATTACCTTATACTAAAAAAAACATCCCTTCTAGCTAAAGCTATAATGAATGACATTGCTTGATGAAGTGGTAATGGGAAAGGGTCGAAATATGTGACATAAAGTGACACAAATCCATTGTTGTATGTACAGTCGAATAAGTAAATCATTAATTACTTCCTTTACGTACAAAAACTACGAGCATGTTTAATAATTTATATACTACTTAAAATTATATATTTAGATCCCATTTCTTTTTAAAAGGTGCCAAGCTAGAATTTACTTAGATGAACATCTACATACATAAGAAGACAGGTGACATACGTAAAAGTTTCCCAAAAATAAAAAAAATCCATATAAAATGTGACTTAGGTCACGTCTGCACTGACACTAAAGAAGTCTATGAGAAACATAGGGCTACTAATAAAAATGCGAAATTTTTTATATGTATGTGTGTGTATGTTTGTTACTCTTTGACACTGAAACCGCAGAACTGATTTGGATGAAATTTAGCACACAAGTAGACTTTGACCTGGAGTAACACATAGGCTAGGGATGCACCCGAGCGAAGCAGGGATATGGTAATGATTGATTCATCAAAATCTACGTCCTGTTAGTATAACTGTAGCAAACCTAAATTTTGGCCACTACAGGCACTTTATTTATTTTTTAATACATTATTACCTGTAATTTTGGCCACTACTTTTTTAATACATTACCTGTAAGTATCCGCACGTGGTAGGGCATGGTCCCGAGTGGGTGGGGCACTAGCGCTGTACCTCCAGGACAGACGCGCGGGGGGCGGCGCCCCACAAGAGAGTACCACACTCTCGCCATCCACTACAACTGCGTCAACCGGCTCTGATGATAGGGAGAACATTGATTCACCTGCATCTTCTCCACCTGAAAACGATTAAACTGTGTAAATCATCTACAAAATTAACGTTTTACATTGCAATTTGCGTAGTAGGAGTTATTTTTGTAATTCAAATTTAATTTAAATGCTAATGTTGTAAGTCTGTAAGGAACTTCTGCTAAGAAGAACAGAATACTAATTAAATAAAAAAATGATACTATCAACAAAAAAATTATCAATTTCGACGTGTTGCGTGTTGGACTTTTCTTAAACATTTACCAAATATAATGTTACAGTTTAGAATTTTTATAAAGTAGATAACCTTCAGACTTAAGACACTTATTTTGTAAATTTTTTATAACAAATTTTATAAAGATAAAATTTGTTCTAATACAAAAAAAAAATTATACACAGTTATAGAATATTCAAAATGTTCAAATGAATACAAAATATACAAACGGAATTACTCTAATTGAATAAGAGGAAAACGTCTCTAATTCAAAGAGAAATATATAATTTTGCCTCATATTCTTATTTTCCCACAAGAAGAGGGTCTGATAACGCAATCTCAAAAAAACAACTTCCCGATTCCCTTTAGAAAACTCCTTAACGATGAAATATATAAGCTACGCTTAATAATTAAACTAAAAACTCTTCAAACCGACAGAGATATTTTTACAATAACTATTATAAAAACAAACGAAAATGAACCTTGCTGCAACAACATAAGGTTTATGACATTTCAAAGCAACACCAAACAAAATTGGTTGATGTAAAGCGATAAAGTCCTTTTGAATACTATTTGATTGAACTAACAATGGTGTATGGAAACTGGGCAAATTAGAAAATAATGTAAAGGATTTTATACTTTATTCCATTGTAGGAAAGGCTATAATCGCTCGCTTACAATAAGTAACAATGATGGGTTTTAAATGAGCAACGGTCGATCGGGCCATCACAATATGGGTATTCCAATATGTATTGTGCTCTTAATGTTCGTACTTGCCTTTTTTGCGTACAGTGCTTATATTATCAATATTAAGGTGTTACGCGAAAATTGCTATTTAAGATGAATTTGTAACAAATCCATAAAAAAATTGGTCACGTGCGAATTGGATTTACTAAGGGTTAAGTGTTGTTACGAAAATTCGCATTCGCATTAGCGAATATTTGCATATTTTTGACATTCACATTCGCATTCGTATTCGCAAAAACAGATGCGAACAACTGTTAAGATTTATATTTTTTATTTAATTATGGTATTTACGGTATTGAGGTAAGTAACTAAATTAGAAATACTAACTCTATTGTTCTTGTTAGTCTAATTAAAATATTTAAAAAAATCACGACTAAACTAAAAAAGTCCTTCCTTACATTTAAAAAAAATTAAAATTCTAAATTATTATATCTTTTGTGAAAAAAAAATATTTGAACTAAAATTAAATTCCTATTATCTGCAATACCTTTGGCTTCAATTATATATTTTTTCACTATATATTTTCTTTTTCTATGAATTAACGATAATGAAATATATACATTCGCATTCGCATTCCCAAATATTGGAGATGAACATTCGCATTCGCGTTCGCGAATATTAGAGATGAATATTCGTATTCGCATTTGCATTCACATTCGCATTCGCAATAATCCAATATTTCGTATATTGTGGGAAAATAAAAACATAAGCGTAAACATTGTTCGAATCCTAAGAATATCAAAAAATTAAAATTCAACGTGACGATGATTGTACATATTATGTCTATAGTCCACGTTTGACCGACTTTAAGTAATGAGTATAAATATATATATTTTTTGCGTACCTGTTCGTTGTCTTTCGTCTCCTACAGAAGTTGAAAAATAGAAAAATAACTATTCTTTTTCGTTTGCAATTAAATATTTATCTATCTATTTTTGGCTTGCGTATGTTACACAATATCTACGCTACTTCTAAATCAAATAGTAGTTATAAACCTCAGTGGTAGTCCAGCCAAGCCAGCCAGCTTAAGTAAATAAAAAAAAGTTCCACCCCTTAGGGTGGAACATTACTTATAAATTGTCAAAAAAATTTACAAATAAAAGAGATTCAGCAGTAATTGGTAACTAACTATTATCTACTTTGGATCAGAATTTTAGATTGTGCACAAAGTTTAAGATTTATTTCATCCTTTTATGTCGAAGGCTTTTATTCTTTACGCACACAAAAAATACTTTTCAGGGTTCGGTACAACTAAAAACTAACTTTAGTCTACGTAAATTTTGGGTAACATTTATATTGGAGATCCAAGCGCCCACACTCGTAAAAAAGATCTATTCCATGTACCTTTCACCAGAACAAAATTTGCTTATAATCTGTTCTTACATAGGTCCTGTCGTCATTATAATACACACTTTAACTAAATATATATAATTATGTTATAAAATTCAAGAAATTAATTATTAACATAGTCCAATAATTTTCACAATATTTTCATGTATTTTAAATTGTGTTTATTATGCAGAACCCGCGGCTTCGCTCGCGCTAAAATTACAAAAAAACTCTTAAAAAGTAAGTTTCATACAAACTTTCATATCATATTTTACCCCCTTATGGAGTGAATTTCGAAAAATGCTAAAACACGTATTTATTTAATTGTATTGAAGAATATTTATACTAAGTTTCAAGTAATTCTGATCATAAATATTATTTTGGGTTGTATTATAATGTCTATTCCCATGGGCTATGAGATAATCTCCCGCGGTAAAAAGTAGCCTATGTCACTCTCCAGCCCTCCAACTATCTCCATACAAAAAATCACGTCAATCCATCACTCCGTTTCGACGTGAAAGAAGGACAAACAAACAAACAAACACACTTTCACATTTATAATATTAGTATTTATATGTATATACGTATGTGTCAATTTTTGCTCAATGCAGCCTTATGTTTCCTACTCTAATTATTTGTAGAAACTTAATTGGTAAATGTATGTATATCTTATTGTAAATTGCTTGTTCTGTAATACTGTTTATCTCCTAAAATAAATAAAAGAAAGATAAAATCTCACGTATAATATTTCGTATAATCTAGGTCAATTTATTACGAAGATGAAGTCTATATGGTCGTACACTAAACCGCATGTCAGCGGTTAGTTAACATTTTGCTTCTGTTGCTACTGACAGTACTGACAGTGGTTAAATGTGATTTTTTTTAATTTCGCTAACCACATGCAGACAAAGACTCCAATTTTTTGCTCCTACTTTAATTTCCTACTCAATAAATATGATTTTTAAAAACATTTTTTAGTAAGCCCTTAAAATATTTTTTATCTGTGTTCTGAAAAAATAATTTTATGTTTTAACTCACTTTCAATTATGTGTGTTATACGAGAAATGATCGGAATCTTTTAAGTGCCTTAAAAATAGTATAGACTAGGAGTCCTTGAGTTTTTGACGTCCAAATAGAAAGACTGTCTATACAATCGCATAAGCTATATATATATATATATATATATATATATATATATATATATATATATATATAAGGCCAGCAATTTGCAGCCAAAAATAACATAATTGGACTGACGACACAACAAAACTGCCCCTCAAAAAACTAAATCAATATAAAAAAAGCATCCCCTTTGATTCTGAATGTTATCTGTTTATTTTGGGAGTTACTACTCGATAGTCCAAACATTCTAAACTATAGGTATATCGAAGACATTGTGAGCATTGAACGTGGCATGTCGTAGGCATTTCATGGCCCGTTTGTAGGATTGATTTACGTAAGATAAGCTTTCAATTGTAATGCGCAAATTCCGATTCGGTCAACTTACTAGCATACCTCATCTATACGTTTGAAATAACTTTGCGAACTACCCTCGCTCGCTTGATAGTCGTCTATAGTTGCCTAAGAATGGCCTAAGAGTGGAGATGTACACGGATATACACACACACACACACACACACACACACACACACACACACACACACACACGCGGACACACATACACAATCTTTCACATTTATAAATGTTGTGCGATATTTTCTCATTATATTTACCAATTTCGAACCAGTAAGATTTTTACGTTCATATCCTGATTAAAGTTTAAGAAATTTTCAATCAAATCTATACATTTAATAAAATTCTAACTAAGTCGAATCTGTACATTAAATATTTTTTGGAAAATCTTATTGAAATATACATTATATCCTAATCTATAGTTTTTAGAATTTTTGTCTGTCTGTCTGTCTATCTGTTACTGCATCACAAAAAAACCACTGAAGGGATTTTGATAAAATTTGCTATGGTGACAGCTGGTTATCTGGGTCAATATATAGGATACTTTTTACCGCGAAAAAATGTTTCATTTCTAAGAAAAAAAAACAAAAACAAAAAAACATATAATGTAAAAGTACCTATACTAATATGTAAAACGTAAGAATTTGGTTTTTGGTCATCTGAACGCGGGCAATGCTAGTCTTTTATAAAACATGGAAGATTATATTTATAATTGTAACCAGATAATTATTGACGTGACGCTTTATCGATCATTTACCTACACAAATAAGCTGTAAACAATTTTATCAATTATAAAAATCACCCATCAAAATCCGTTTGTTTTATCACATAAGAACTTTGCCTATATCCATACTAATATTATAAATATGAAAGTGTGTTTGTTTATTTCTTTGTCCTTCTTTCACGTCCAAACATAGTGATGGGTTGGTGTGATTTTTTGTGTGGAGATAGTTAAAGAGCTGGAGAGTGACATAGGCTACTTTTTACCGCGGGAGATTATCTTATTCCTACGGGAAAACACGTTATAATATAACCCACAACAAATCCTGTACCTGTATCTGTGTTTACATATATAAAGTCTATCTAAAATCTACTCCTTACTAACCGTTAAAACGTATAGATAATAAATAAGTTTAAATTGACAGTACATCCGCGACCCGCATGCGCACGCGCCTTCAATACATACCATTTAGGGTTGCCAGTTTTGTTTCTCTCTTTTTCAAATATACATAACAATGAAATACATCTAATTATTTTTTAAATTAATTA